CTTATTGTTGCTGTGTTCTTCATATATCAAAACATTCAGATGAGACTCCTGCAATGACTTTTTGATGTTTGTGCAATTTGTACTTTGAGACATTTTTCTGCCATATTTGGTCTCAGTGTCCTCAATATCTTTTATTCTTCTGTTATTTTCACCCGTTCTGTTTTTTGCTTCTTTTTTTTTTTTTGTGGTAATTAAAGCTTCTTCTTTTTTTTTCTTTTTCTCATATTTATCAGTCCCTCGTAGCTTCTTTCTGATAATTTCAGCTTTTGTGGGCTTCTTTCATCTTCTCATGTTAATTCAGAAAATGTCTGCTAARTTCAGCTTTGTCTACAGATTGCTGTTTTATTGATTGCAACTTTTTGTTTTCCCTCTTCTCAGGAAAAGTCAGAAGTTTAAATTTGGTTATCACACATTTTTAGCTTGTCTTCAGCTTCCAGTAAAATCTTTCAGCAACAAGCCGTCATGCTGCTTTTTTGTAGGAAATTCGATTTCTTTCCCCCATAGTTTTACTGACTGTTTGTGGATCAGGTGCTCTTGGTGCTACAGTTTTATTTGTAAATTTTGAACCATTCACCATCCTGTGGATGCTGTCTTTCTTACAGGAAACATGTGCACTGTATGGAGAGTCTAGATATTCTATGATTTTGTTTTAACCATTATTTTTCAGGTATCTCCTTTAAACGATCACCTCACTGGGTGARGCTAAATTTTGGTGAATCGCATGTTGTACACAACCTACAGTTGTACRGTAGGCTGTAATCCTGGGTTTCATCACAGGTTGTCACCAATCCACTCARATCTTAACTTTTTCATTGTTTCTTCTTAGACAAGGGGACATGGGTTGCTTCACGTGGTCTTCATTGTTTCAAGGGTCAGTTTCTATGATAAAGGTTTCGTTTAGTTTTAAGAAACTAGTCCTTGTATGGCTGGTCTGGTTCAGGCTGGGCCTTTAATGCACAGGCCTACAGTGTTGGGGGTGGGGTATCATTTTGACCTACACTTACTATGTGACATTAATATATTTTTGAATACTGTCTGGCCACATTTGGCCTGTGGGCCTTGAGTTTGACATGTGCATTACCTGCACGTGACACAAACCATGTCACACTCCAGCAGGACATATCAGCGGCTAGTWTGAAGATTTATTTATTTATGCATTAAAAACCAAAAGAAAAATCAGTATACAGTAAAAAGCACAAATCATAAACTAATGTGAGATGAAACACGTAGTGCATCCCAATTTTTTCAACATTAGGTTAACATTTGAATATGGCTATATTTTGGGGAGGTCACCTCCCAAAAAATTTAATTTTAGAAATTGTAAATGCTTCTTAACACTTTTACTTTTAATAGTGTTTGTCATATTCTAAGACAGAGGTGCCCAAAGTTGGGCCCGCGGGCCAAAATTGGCCCACCAAACCATTTGATTTGGCCCACCAGCAGTTGTCCTGGTTATTAGATTGTAATTATGTTCAGATGGAATATAAAATTCAAGTAACTACAAGAGACATTTAGATTAGATTTAAGCCCATATCTAGATTTGCACACCTTAAAAGACCCCTTATACCCAATTTTTAAATTATGAATAGTTTCATGAGCCTTTGCTGACATTGCATTGACTTTGCATA